CCCCTTTTTTACATTTTCTTATATTTTTTTCCTTTTCCCTTGTTCCCCTTTCCCTATCCTTCTCACTGTCCCTACACCTTTGGTCCTTTTCTTCCCATTTCACGTTGCTAATCGTCCCATAGAATAAAAAATTTTAAAAGGTCTGGTGATGGAACTTACTGGCCGAGTTCTTGCTTACCATTTTAGGAACCCAGGATCACAAAAATATGTATGAGTGGTGATATTTTAAGACAATTTTTAAAATGGGAGAACTCTCTCCAACAAATTTTTCATTATACTGTGGAACAACTACAAGGCAGAGATCCAGACTTGACCTCAGATGGGAGCCTGGGGCCTGCGTCATGGTGAAGAAGGGGGAGACAAAGGACTGCAGGGGCCACACTGACAAGTCGTGAGAGTCCCCTGGAGAAATTCCCTCCGGCTGAGAGTGGGGACATTTGAATAAGGGTAATAATACAATGGGTGAAAACCCTGAAATATGTCTACATCTACAAGTCTGTACTGATTCTAAGACATAAAAAGAACATTTGGGATGCTGCTGAAGGACGAGAGGTGAGAAAAAGTCATCTTAAAAATTGGGAAAGAGAAAAAAATTCTTTAAAATTGCATGTTCAATATGAAGTCTACCTTGGGTATTTAAATGTTAGAGCCAGGGAGGTAACTTTACAGAATATCCCAGGCCAGGGACGGACCTGAGGGTGCTCAGGCCTCTAGAGCCAACTCCTGCATCGCAGAAAACACCGAGGACAAGGAGGGTAGGGAGCTGCGGGGACACTGGAGCTGACGGAAAGTGGCCGGGCTGGCACCTGAGTCTGTGTGCAGGGGGAGCAGGGCTGGGGCCGAGGCGGACAGGATGGAAGCTGAAGGCCATTCCAGGGCTCTGGCTGCGGGGAGGCTGAAGGCAGGAGAGGGACCTGGAGCCTGCGGAGGAGGCGGAAGCCTTGAGCGGAAGCTGCTGTGAGCCCGGTACCGCTGACCCTTCAGGGCTACGGACTACAGAGCCGGGCAGGGCCTCGGCCTCCAGAGAGCTCTGGGGGTGCGGCCGCTCCGGCAGGCGGTGTGGACTCTGTGTGGGGGACACAGAAGGACCTCAGCCGTCTGAGAGGAGAGCTGCAGCCCGGTGAGGGACCCGATGCCACGCTTGGTGGCTGATGTGGGCAATGTAGTCCCACGTCCCCAGGGGTCACACAGTGAGACACATGCAGTCGGTGTTTCTGAACAGAGGGCTTTATTGATGACACTTGCAGAAGGGGTGGCAGTGAAACTCGCAGTTGGCCTCCAGGATCTCCCGAACCCATCTCACGAGCGCAGTGACTCGAGCGTACACAGCAGGAGTAGAGGTGTTGCAGGTGCCACTGCCCCAGGACACGATGCCTACCAGGCACCAGACTCCATTGTGCTGGCACACCAGGGGGCCACCAGAGTCACCCTGCAGGGAGGGAGAGGACCTGACTGCAAGCCTGAAAGGGGAGCCAGGGCCCAGGTGCCTGGGCCAACTGAGGCAAGGTAGGGGCCATAGGGGTGACAGGGGTGGGCACAGGGGCTCTGCCCAAGCTACTTCCGTCTGGGTGCCGTGCAGTCCAGCTCCCCGCCTACCCCTGAGCACCCTGTGCAGGTGGCCTCCCCTGTCTAAGCCTGGCCGTCACCTCCCGTGCCCTGGCACCTGTGCTCCCGGGGCCGGGTGAGGACTGAGCCCCGTGGGCGGCACAGCACAGGCCTGGGCGAGGGAGCTGCCTCGGGGTGCCTGTGAGCACCAGTGGGGCCTACTGAGGAGGGAGGGCGGGGGAGAGTGGGGAGCCCAGGCCTGTGTGCGGGGTCCCCGTGTCCCTCCTGGTTCTCCCAGACCATACCATGCAGGAGGAGACGCCGCTGCCCCCAGCGCAGATCATCTGGTCAGTAATAAGGCTCCCCCAGTAATTCCTGCATTCATCAGTGGGCACGAGGGGCAGAACCGCCTGCTGCAGCTTGGTGGGGTCCACAGGGGCTGCAGGGACAGGAAGGCCAGAGTGAGAGCCCTCCCCACCCAGCCCACGTCTGCCCCCTGGAGGGATTCCCTGCTGGAGGTGCCATCTGGGGGCACAGGCAACTGCTGAGGGCTCCTGTCTAGGGCTCACTTCAGCTTCCTTACCTCTGTTAGCCCTTAGTTTATTTGTGTGTAGTTTTTAAAAATGTTTCTGTGTTCTTATTTGGCACACATTTCTTGTGTGGTTTTTTTGTTTGTTTGTTTGTTTTTTGAGACACGGTCTCACTATGTGTTTGAGACTGACCTGGAACTCAGGTCTCGAACTCACAGCGATCCTCCTTCCTCAGCCTCCCGAGTGCTGGGATTACAGGCATGCACCACCATGCCCAGCATCTTGTGTTTTACAAACTTCTTTAAATTTGGCTCTTTTAGACAGGGTCTCACTAAGTAGTTTACACTGGGCTCCAATTTTCCAGGACAGCCTCAGATGCCCAGCACCCCTCCTACCTCAGGCTCCCTAGTGCAGAGATTCCGGTGTGCACCACCATTTCAAGCTACTTTATTGATTTTTAATTTTTTTTTTTCGTATCAGAGATCAAACTCAGGCCCTTGTGCTTGCGAGGCAGGTGGCAGCATCACTGAGCTAAATCCCTGGTGCTAGATCTTTAATTTTTTAAAAAGCTACTTGGATTAAAATGAAAAATTTTAACGAAAAAAAAAAAAGCCACACATGTGAATGCCTGCTGCCCAGGCAGCCCCTGCCCCGGGACCGCTCCTGCTGTGAAAAACCAAGTCACACTCACGGTCGAAACTGGACATTCCCCAGCCAGTGGTGACGCATGGGCCCCAAGTAAAGACGTCGCTACAGACACAGGGCAGGCACACAGGGGACACAGTCGAGGTTATCTGCGCAGGTGTAGCCAGCCTCAGCAGGGTGATGTCATAGGAGACTGTGACCCAGCTGAAATCTGGGTTGGTGAAAACCTGAGGGCGACAACCGCAACCCCGGTGAGGCCCTGGAGCAGCCAGGAGACGCAGCCCTGAGGGACAAGCGCCTGTCCTCTGGCCCCTACCTCTGCGATCTCCAGGACCTGCACGTCCTCCTCATCAGAGTCCAGGTCGTACTCCCCAGCCACCACCATGTCAGACGTACTGGGCACAGAGACAGGAGGGGTGGGGAATGGGGTGGGCACTGCCCTCCCTCCACAGCCCAGCGCTGGGAGCAGAGCCCGGGACACCTGCTCACCTGACCTGGCAGTGGGCGGCGGTGACCACCCAGTACGGGCAGATGAGGGAGCCCCCGCAGAAGTGAAAGCCGGTTTCGTCCTGGGAAGGAAGGAGGGGAGGTCACAGCTGCCACCTGGGCAACAACGCCCCAGCCTGGCCAACAGCCCAGCATCCCACGCATGTCCTGGGTCCCCAGCTCACCTGCAGGGACACCTGCCAGGGCCAGGAGCCAGGGACAGCGTCCTCACCATGGATGATCCTGGCCAGGCCACTCAGCACAGGCGGGATGGCGGGGCTCCCACAGTCTGAGAGGAGGGAGAGGAGGGGCTGAGTCCGGGCCTGACTCGCGAGCCTTGCAGAGCTACTGCTTTCCACCTCAGCCCATGCAGCTCAGGATCCCCACCCCACAGCTGCCTCCTCCTCCTCTGCAAGGTGGGTGCCCTGGCTTCTTCCAAGCTTTAGGCTCCAGGTTCCCCCACCTGCAGCCTGCTCACCCCAGTCGTCTTGCACAGGTGCAGAGGGACTCGGCTGTCCCCACCCGGGCCTGTCTGCCACAGGAGAAGACAGCTGGGCCTGATATCAGACTGCATGGGCTTGGCCTCTAGGTCCCCTCCCGGCCGTGTGGCCTGGGACCAGGGGCTCCACAGTGTTCTCAGCTGCTCAGGGGGAGCAGAACAACACTGACCGCACAGGTCACAGCCCATCTGTCAGGTGGAGCTCACAGCTGTGACCACGTCCTGGGGCCTCCAGAGCCCAGACGCTAGGCCGAGGGAGGGTGAGAGGGCGCCATTTCACAGCACTGGTGCTTCTGGAGCCACCAACCACTGCTGGGCCAGTGCATCTCTTCCACTCCTTTTGCAGGGAGCGAGGAATCTGAGAGCCCTAAAGGACCTTCTCCTCCCTGCAGCCTCAGGTCCCTCAGCCTGGGTGAAGCCAAGGGGCTCACCTCCGGTTGGGGACAGAGCCCCAGGTTCATCTGCTGGGACCCGGCTGTGGGGGTCATGAAGGTTTAAGGCCCCCTCCCCTCCCCACATTCTCCAGGCCTGGGGGCCCCGGCTCCCCACACTCACGATGGGCGGCCCCTAGGAGGGCAAAGCAGGACAGAAGCCACAGGGAGACCATGGTGCTGCTGTCAGGGAAAGTGGTGTCTCCCTGTTTTGGGGCCCCTTTTATGTCTCCTAGTGTCCCCTAAACCATGCCCAGCCAGGGAGGCCTGAGGGCCACCCCCACTTATCCAAGGACCTTGGCTATAAGTGGGGCCACTCTGGAAGGCTGGAAATTCCCAGCTCCTGGGAAAGGGACAGCTGCCCTGTGCCCACACCACCTGCAGCCTGGGCAATGCCATGGCCAAGGCCATGGAGCCTGGGCCCTGCAGAACCCAGTTCACACAGCCTTTGCTGGCAAGTGAGGCAGGAGACCCTGCTGTCCCCAGCACCTGGAGGGAGGAAGAGGCTTCCAGGCCTGAGTTGAAGACAGCAGTGACCCACAGTGTTCCCAGGGGCCCCACCAGTGGTGGCTGGGGCCTCAAAATTCTCCAGAGCTGGTCCAGGACCCTGAATGTTGGGTGCAGAGACTCAGCGAAGAGTAGTTCTATGAACCCTCATCTAAAAGCAAAGCACTGTGTAGAGGATTGGAAATACCCAGGGGTCACCTTGTCCCAGCCCACCAAACACTATGAGTGTGGCAGGGCGAGAGGAGTGGCCCAGGCCTCAGGATGGGAACGTCAAAGCCAGGCCGCTGTGTCTGTGTGGTGCTTAGTGGAACTCTCTTCTTTGTATGAAGTTAGTTTCTTTTCAAATGAGGCCTTGATGCCAGAGCACATGATGACAGAGAACAGACTCTTCCTTGCCACAGGATAATATGGTAGTTGTGCCCAACAGATAGGAAGTGGGCCCACAAGTATTTTCAGGTACCAGGGGTGGGATGCACAGCTCCCCTGAGCCCAGGTGAGTGACAGAGAGGCACAGTCAGTGAACTGAGGCTTTCTGTAAGGCCACCAGGCCCACATCATCCAGACAGAGCCTGGTCCAGCAGAACAGTGGCTCTGGGCATGTCAGGGCAGAGCTGTTGATTTGAACTTGGTGCATAAGAAAGTTTCCTTTGTCCTGATCTTACAAGTTCAGCCTAGTGCTGGGTCTTCCAGCAGGGAGGAGTCACCACATCCAGCCTGTGGCTGAGAAAAACCTCTGGTTGGCGGTGCCAGTGGTAGGAGGGGTGGGAGTCCTGAAAGTCCTGGACCCCTATCTGCAAGGACCATGTTCCCAGCACTGCCTTCCCAACTGGTACCTTGGTTTTCCACATTCCCTTGCACTGGTGCCCTAGTGTGTCACTGATCATCAGCCCCAAGTCTGAGCACAAGGAATTCAAATTTCAGTTTCAGGCCAGGAGACTTTCTTGAAATACTAAGTTTTGCCAGGATTTTCCCATCACCCTTTGCAAGGAGGTGGCCAAGCCATTTGTATTTTCCTCACCTTGGCGATTTTTCCAGAGCACAAAACCGAGGCTTCTTGAAGTCATGGGCTCTTCCTGTCCACCGTGAGAGCTGAACTCCTTGAAGACTTGAAGATGGGGCCTTTGTCCCTGGGAGACTCAGGACAGAGGAGGGAAAGCTTGAGATGAGCAGTGGCAGGGCTAGGGACAGTGGGCTGACATTTGTGTTTGTTTGCTGCCCTGAAATCTGCACACCCTGGGGCAGAGTGCTGATGTTATCAAGGGACACCTCGTGCTGCCACCTGGCTGCAGCCGTCTCCACTTCCTGCCCACATGGAGGAAGCCTCTAGAGAGGCCCAGCTCCCCATTTGTTAGTCAGTGAACGCTGATCAATAGAAACCCCAAAAGGCACGAAGACGGGAGCAGATCATGGCCCCACAGGCATGTGGAGCTCGACCACCATCCTGAGCCCACAGGAGAAAGACAGAGACCCTCACCTGAGCCACGGCGTCATGCGCTGCCAAGCAATTGCTTACCTCAACGTGCTGCTCCAGGAAGAAAAGTGGATACGAATTCTTTAGCCAAAATTGGACAGGCATTCGATTACAGACAGGGTCTAAGTGACATGAGTCATCATAATGTGGTTTTTTCCCCCTACAATGGAGTACTACTCAGCCATAAAGAATGAGAAACTAGAGACATTTATAGTTAAATGGATGCACATTGAGGCGATACTCTTAAGTGAAATAAATAGGACACATATGTGTAAATACCATATAGTTTCTCTAGTGTGAGAAACAAAGTCTAAATAAGGACTAAAAGGTATAATGGATAATGTGAAACAGGAAGCAAAGGTGCAAAGAACAAGGGGAAATAGGAAGGGTGGGGAAAAGGAAGGGACTGGAATTAATACAAGAAAAAGAAAACATGGAAACAAAATCTTTTTAGAGAGGGGCAGAGGGGTTGAAGGAAGGCAGGGGAATGGGGAAAAAATAAGAACCAAGATGGATTATGTAAAGGCGCCAATTTCCAATGAGGACTGTCACTATGTTGTCTATCTTAAATGTACCAATAAACTCAATTGAAATTAAAAATAAAATAAGAGTCATCGTAATGGTGCTGCTGTCTTTTGCCTCTCGGTCTCTACATTCTTGACCCTTTGCCAAAGTAGACACAGTAGGAGATTGGAAAATTCAAAATCCTTGACATCTTCCGGTATCCACACCCTTTGCCTTGAGATTTTGTTTGAAACTTGAAGGAGCATCTGAACATTGGAAGGTACAGTGTCCGGACCAACGGGAAGAGCAACCCCAGCAGCACATGGCCCAGGTGATGCATAGGAGTGGTTACTCCTCCCTCACCCCCACCTCACTTCCGCCTCTGAACCCAAGCAAGAAAGCCCCGTGCAAGAAGCCGTGCAGGCGCCCACTGGGACTCAGACTGCTTCCAAGCCCACCGTGTCCTGGCACAGCTGAACTCCTGGGCTCTTTGTAACCAACACAATGCCAGAGGCTGCAAGTCCTGATCAGGCTGCTGGCAGCTTTGAGGTTTCCGAGCCCAAGATGGAGCCTTGGACACCATGGCTGGGCTGGGCTTCCCCTGGAGGAAGGGAAGGGCCCCCCCTGAGTGGGAAACTTCTTTCAGGAACTCAGCAGTCCAAGCAGGTTTGTTGCTGAACCTGAGAGGGCCCTCTCCGTGGGAGCGGAACAGAGAAGTTGTCTCTTACAGGCTGAGGCATTTTTCATAGCATTTTTGGTCGGCTTATGACTTGTTGCGTCCTCTGTAACCTGCCGACACGTCCTTGTGACCTACTGACATGTCCTCTGTGAACTGAGCAAAATGAAACCTATGCTTCTTTATCAGAGAGAGAGGGCATTGGACATAGCCAGTCCCAGGTTGTAGGCACGGAGGAGTGAGGATGTCTAGGCTGTTGGAGGGTTTTGAGAGGGTGCGGTCAGTTTAGGTCCAATTGTGATGCCTGAATGTTAAATAAGGGATTTGAAAGAGAGGAAAGTAGGTTGAATTGGAGGTAGGGGATGGGAGGGCATTGAGGGGCCTTCCCTATAAAATCTCAAAGGGGCTGAGCATAAGAAGTTTGTGGGAAGAGACCTGAGTCTGAGAAGGGCTGAGAGTAGGAGTTTAGTCCGGTCTAAGAGGACCGGGAGGGAAACTTGGGGTCTGTTTAAGAAGGTGATTAGCCTTTTCCACCTTGCCAGATGATTGAGGTCGCTATGGGATGGAGAACTTCCAGGTTATATTTAGAGACAAGGGAATCTCTTGGATAATCTGTGAGGTGAATTCAGGTCCATTATCAGGTTGGATGGAGTTTGAAAGTCCGAAGTCAGGAGTGATTTCAGTGAGTAGGATATGCGCTCCTGTGGAGAATCTTTTGTTTGTTGTAGGAAAGGCCTCTACCCATCCTGAGAAGGTGTCAGCTAGGACAAGGGGGCATCTTTTTTTTTTTTCCACTGGAGGCATGTGAATAACATCTATCTGCCATTCAGTGCCAGGGAGGGGGTCCCTGAAATTAATAGAAGGGGGGAGGTCTAAGGTTACTCTGGGGTTGGTGGTTTGACATATGGAGCATTGAGAGAGAATCTTCTTCAGGGAGGCCCTGCAAACTAGGGGTGAGATGCATCTGTAGGAGTTGGAGCAGAGAAAAGGATCCCGCATGGAACTGGTCACAGAAAGATGAAAGGAATTTGTTGTGCAAGCTTTCAGGATGGACCAGTTCTTCATGGAGAGACCACCACTCTTACTCTTGGATGCCTTCTGTTATTTGAGTATTGTTATTTCTTGAGCTGAGTAGGAAGATTAAGAGGAAAAAGGAAGCCGGGCATGGTGGCGCACACCTGTAATCCCAGCACTCAGGAGGCTGAGGCAGGAGGATTGCTGTGATTTTGAGACCAGCCTGAGATACATAGTGAGTTCCAGGTCAGTCTCAACTACATAGTGAGACCCTGTTTCAAAAAACCAAAAAAAAAGAAAAGGAAATGGGCAACAGAGAGAGTGCGGGTAGTTGCCTATTTTGCTAGTCTGTCTGCTTCATTATTTCCACAAATGATATGTCTGAGATGTTTATGTCATAAATTAGGTCTTTGGTGGCCCTTGTAATGAATAACAGTGGCTTTACATGGTAAAAGAGCCCTATAGAAGTTCTTGAAAGGGGGGTCCATTTAGTATAGCGATATTTTTCATGTGGGATCTGGGCTTTTGAATGTAGGATTTATATGCATATTTGCAGTCTGTGTAAATGTTGATGCTTTTATCTTCTGGGGGAGAGAGAGCTCTAGCGAGTACCATGAGTTCTGCCTGCTGTGAAGTTATTCCTGTGAGGAAGGCTGCTGCCTTGATTACTTTTTGGGGAGGGTAGGAGGGTTGGCCATCCAGGTATCCTCCAATGATGGCATTCCCTACCTGGGGAGGGATGGTGTTTGAAACACTTCTATCAAAAACCAGTCAGGGACTCTAGAATATGTTCTGAGGTTATGTGATATAAGTGAGTGAACAAAAAATCAAGGAGCTCACTGCATTCAGGTTGTGGGTGGCTTCTGGGGAGTCAGGTACTGGGAGGAGAATGGCAGGGTTTGGGACAGATGAGCAGCAGAAGATAACTGTGGGTTGTAAGAGCCAAGAGTGTAGGACTTGAACTTGGGCTGGAGAGAGAAGGGTTACAGTATGATGACTGAGAA